AGAGGAATCAACCATTGTGATTACCCCCGGAAAGTTTGTGAGGGTTCGGAGACCACCCCAAGGTCTACCACTAGTGGTTGAGAAACGCCTTCGTGGTGTTGTCTCAAAGGGAGAATAGGGTGAGCCTTCGTGGCGTTGGTGTGCCTTCGTGGTAACATCCACCTCTCTAACGGTGACGTAGCTTCCTTCCAAGAAAGTGAACATCGGCATATATCCTCGTCTCCCAGAGTTGCGGTTATTCCTAACCCTAACTCTCTACTTGTGGTTACTTGTCTCTTAGCACTTACTTATATCATATTGTGCTTGCTTACTTACATACTTGTGTTACTTGGTTATCTTACTTAGCTCTTAGCATCATTTGCAATTGTTAGGCTCACTTTCATATTCCGCACAATTGCCTAAAATTGCTAAGTAACAATTAAAATTTGTAGTTGTACCTATTCATCCCCCCCTAGGTCCATCTCGATCCTTTCAGATGTACCGAAGCAGAAGTATTTGGATTATCAAGAATGCTAGGATCTTCATAAATGAAAGGCCCAGTTTTTATAGACATAGACATGTCTCTGAGCTGGTTAGGTGGATTCCTTTTGACCAACTTGAGGGTGTTCCTTTAAACAATTTTCATTTTATGGCCTCTTTGTACAGAGTGAAACTTTTTTTTGTGAGAATACATATTGAAACTTATTGGGGAAATAATAAAGAGTAAAAGGCTGTGGGGTGTTTTGCCCTACAGAAACCAATCAAAAAAATGTGGTGTACAGTTCCCATGTTCCAATTCATCCGGGTATAGCAAGGAATTGATCTAGAAGACATGTGCTCCCGGAAAGATCAAAGTCTTCTTCTGGTTACCGCTAAAAACCCGTCTCTAGTGCAATGACAGACTGCAACATAAGGATTGAGAAAACGAATATTTTTGCCCCATGTGCATGAGGAATCTGGAGACACTCATTCACCTATTCTAGGAATGCCCGGTATCAAAAGAGATATGGGAACGAATTTCAGCCTGGCCGGATTGCAGAAAGCTTGCTCTTCTCACAACCTGCTGATACCCCTTCTGATCAACGACTGAGAAACCTTCTGCAACAGACAAGACCCAACCTAAGGCAAAGTTCAAAACGATGATTTTCCTGGTGGCATGGCACATCTGGACAGAGCGCAACAACCGCACTTTCAGACATACACCAAGCCAAATCAATAACATGACGGCCGCTATTAGAAGCGACATGGACTGCTGGAAACTAGTTAGGGCGAAGTGCCTACAGACGCCACTAGGCGACCCAGGATACGGAGAGAAGCGTTTTAGTTCCTTTTCAGGGTGACTTCCACACCCAACTCCTGTAAACCACCATGATCAATTGATCATGAACGCATTTGCCATCTTCTCCCTGCTTAATATATGAATGTCGGCGATACACCGGTTCTTCAAAAAAAAAATGGATATTGAGACATTAATTGAACACGTGCACAACCTAAGCGCACGCGCACACATGAAAAACAATAGGGTTCTGCCATTGGCATCACAAGCCATTCACCGTACATGCACCAGCGTTGCTTGGTGCATAGCGGAGTACACACTTACTGGTTTTACCATATACCGAGTAAAACTTACTGATAAAAAAATAACCCAAACTAGCTGCGGCTATGCCAGTGAATGGCGACGGGCGTTCGAAATAAACCACAGTAACAAATCAGTACACATAAGCGCTATGAAGCCAGCAAGTCCGATGCATGCAGTTCGACAAGCTCTAATCCAGCCAGGTCACCAGCGTTTCGATCACCTGCAAGGCCACAAGTTAAAATGGTGCCTGTGGAACCTTTCCTGCAACATGATGTCTATATGTATACTAATAGTAGAATGCCCGTGAGTTGTTACCAGGGTTTGAATTCTTTTGCTGGTGTATATGTAAGGCCAACTCAAACGCGGCGACCCATTTCGTCCGTCCGCGGCCGTTTGAGTCCACACGGACAAAAATGCGGCCCAACACGCCGGCGCAAACGAATGAGTGTCCTTTTTTTGTCCGCCACAACCCTTTTCGGCCCAAATTTCAGCCAGGTTTGTGTCGGCACGGACAGGGCGCAGACACCCGCGACGCCCTCCCTTGTCCTCCCCCTGGCCCATCCATCGATGGCACATCGGCCATTCTTCCCCCTCCCCTTCCACACTCTACACCCTGGCCTCGCCGCCACCCAGTTCTGGCCGCGGCGACACCACTCAGGCGCCACCGCCGCATCCACCAACTTCCCCACCACCACCGCATCCACCGAGGCCAATCTCTTGCCGACGTTTGTGGCCGCTCCTCACCGCTGTCGGAGCATGAGAAGGCACAACTACCAAGGGTCGCCGGCACTGCCCCTCGCCTCCATGGTTACTGCCGGAGGGTGCGGACTTCACAGGCCCACTGCCCTTCACCGGCCATGTCTTGGCCACGCCCGCCTCCATCGCCTCCCGCAAGGTGTTCGGCCCTTTGCCCACAAGGTACCATGGTGGACAGCTCAGATGAATTTTTTTTAAACAACTTCATATGTTCATTGGACGATTCATCCTCCAACAAAGAGGATTTATGGTTGCTACTTTGGTCGTCAATGAGCACATTGCTAGTCAGCAGCCTAGGTTTAGGGGCGCGATCCCGGGCCACACTCCGACATTGAATCCTAACAGAGAGAGCGATCATTGCCTTCTATAGCAATTATTTCCGGTGCACGTTCCCACTCTTCAACCCCAAGCTTTTCTGTCGACGCTTCCAGATGGCGAGACATGTGTTCAACCGTAATCGGGGGGGAGTCGTGGAGTATGAAAATGTTGAGCCTGAGCATGGACCGGCAACGTTTGCACAGTTCATCCAATTTCATCAAAAGTGCGTGATTGGACAACTCACATTCAACTTCAAAATGATTTGGTTGAGCATACGTGGATTCACCTAGGAAACCAATAGATGTATCGGCTCTTTTTCTTTCAATGTATTTGTGACTATTTCAAATTCATTTGGTTGTAAACTATAAGATTTTTATTTGGTTGTAAACTATTTATTGTGATGTAAAAACTATATGACTTTTATTTGTATTTATATGAATAGAATGTAAAATGTTAAAATTTGGCCAAAAACCGGCCAGGTGGACCAAATGAGTCGGCCAGTTGGGCGCATTAGCCGGGAAAACACGGACGAGGGTGGATGACACCCCTACGGCCGACGACCCAAACGGACAAGGCGGACCAAATCCGAGTCCGTTTGGGTCACAACATTGGAGTTGGCCTAAACATAATGCATGTCAAATTTCGCATGTATACAAAAGATAGCCAATAATAGTCGAAAAATAATTGAAATCCACTTACTTCACTTGCAATGTAAGTTGATAAAAAATGTAATTTGATGATGTGAGGATAACCAGTAGAAAAATGTAGGTAGAAAATTAGTCTAACCATGTCATGTTGTAGATACTTAAGCACCTTTTTTTATGATGTGGGGATGACTCTCTAGGTTTATGGGAATTTCACAATCTCGCTTCGGTATTCCGGAATCATATCTATTATCTAAGAATACACGTGCACCCACTCTACAATATTTTTCTTGGACCCTTAGGCAGAAAATGTATGCATTTATGACCTATAGTAGAAAAAATAACAAATAAATTAGACATTCTTGATGTACCTAAGTATGACCATCGGAGTATATCTTAGCTGACCTCGTTGTCCACCCCTATCTCATCTTCTAAAAGATATTCCAAATCTCCATGTGTCAAGGTCGTGTCATAGATATGCATCAACTTGGTTTTGCTAGGGAAGGACATGATGTATTTTTTTCATTTCAGTGAAAGTAATAGCAGTGGCGTTCTCTTTAATCCCATTCAAATCCGTTCCGTGACGGCGAGTCGCCGGCAAGGCAGGAGGCTGGCAGCGAATAAAATCAGGATGGGCGGAAGGGAATCGCTGAAGCGAGGCAGGTGGCCGGCTGGCCGGTTGTTCGTGCGGATCACGAGACGGGTTGGAGTGCTTGCTGGGCTTTTTGTATTTTCTTCTACATCCCATCTCCTATTCTTATGGTATACGGGCCGAACTAAGATCCCAGGAATGAGAGGTTGCTGCTATGTGCCTGTGTGCATATTTTGTTGTTGCTGTGTGTGGTTACAGGAGAGGAATAATAGTAAAGGCTACAGAGAGTGAGAAGGGTTTAGATGCCACTGCTGATTAAACTGGGGCTGATTATACTGGGTTGTGTGGCGCTGTGACAGTTTATACATGGGCTGATTGTCTAATGCTGAGGATTGCCATGATTGCTAGGTTTTATTTAGTAATTGCTGATTGCTAGATAAAATAGAGAGATGTATATGGAATGATTGCAATTACTTCATGCTGCTAGATGTCTATGCTGGTGAAAATGTGTTGTTTGTGGGTTTTTTTTTTCTTTCATGTGTTATAGTACATACAAAAAAGTATAAATTTTCTTTTGACTGTTTGTTTTGCGTGTTATTTTGTATTGGAGGCTTGGAGCAATAATTTTACTCTTCAACTGAACATGCAGGGTATTAGAAAGATAAACATATGGATTTGGTAGTTCCATAAAATTAATAAGATATAGGATATTGAAATATAGGGGTTAAGATTTAGGGGTGATGCTGAAGTTAAACAAATTTTAGGGTAGAATCTTGATAGGGGTGTCCCCTATATAGAGATTTAGAGGAGATATTTTAGGGGAGCTTAACCGATTCCTCCTCCAAATCCGACAATGCTTCCTAATGTCCATGAGGATCCTAAAAGGTACTCCCTCCGTCCCAAAATAAGTGTCTCAACCTTAGTACAACTTTGCGCTAAAGTTACTAGTAGAAAGTTGAGACACTTATTTTGGGACAGAGGGAGTATATGTTAGACACAGCTAATGTTGAACTACTAGAATATGCATACTCCCATTGCAGCGCACAGGCAATTAACTAGTAAACTGTAAAAGCATCAACATGTGTCATGAGCGTGTGATTTCGACGGGGCAAGAAACTTACCATAATATACCTCAAGATGGCTTGATATTTATTTCTGGGAGAGAGATAAGGTTAGCGCATAAGATCGCCACCACGACACCGACTCTTTTATCATGCTTTGGGCAGGTAATTTCGATTTTCTTAAGCTTCTGGCAATAAAATGGTGTCTCTGTTCCCTTGCAACAGGGGTTTATTTTCACAGCAAAATTTCCTGAAAGCTCGGGACGTCGATAGATTAAAGCTCCAACCTGAAGGTAACACCCAAAGACTATTACACTCGATTCATGGACAAGTGTGCCCATCAAGGTGCGGGGAAATTCTGAAATTCATACCTCGGACAACCCAAGAGTAAGCTTTTCTAAATTAGGTGAGTGCCTAAGCACGTACAGCAGTGCTTTGCAGCTATTATGCAAACACCATTCATTCAAAGACAAAGTTGTCAAATTAGTGAACACTACTTGATGGAATAGTATCTCATTTCCCAATAATTCCTTCCCAACCTGCAAATACAGTACAAAAAAGGTCGTTGAGACAAAATACTTCGCAGAAACAACATGCTACTGCTATAGAGAAGACAGAAAAAGAACTAAATGCAACCATGACTACTCTTGATAAAGCATACCATGGGGCCAACGTGCAGCAGTGTCAAGTTCCTGGCGTTCGAAAAAGCACGAAGAATAGAGCAGCCATTAACAAATTCAAACCCTGTCTGTTCTGAGTGAATGGAGGCTGTTAACAATGATCGCATGTTGATAAAAGAAGGCTTCGTACAGAGTAGTGCACCGATGCATAGCGAGACTAGACTAGGCATATTTATAACAATATCAACTTCCTCATCTTTTGTTACAGAGAAACCAACGGTGCTGATGCTCAAGTTCTTCAATGTGGTAGAGGAAAATTCTGTGGCAGTGATGTCACAGTCATTCATCTCTAGGTCTTCCAACGCCGGGCAGCCAGAAAAGAGCTGCTTGATGAGGCAATTGCTGACACAAACATAGTGAAGATGCAATCTTTTCAAGTGTGATGAGGTAAAGGAGTAACGGTCGGGGTGGAAGGTTCTAAGAATATCTTCTGTTTCGCCTTCCTCGTACAGGTCATGGTCGGCAATACTCAACGCCTGAACATTGCACCTCAGGGCATGGTATATCCACAGGTTGGCAGTGTCACGGATATTGTCAAACAAAATGTGAGGCCCCTCAGCACGCAGGCAGAAGGTGTCGAGAGGTGCATGGCCACGACGCAGCAGCAAGTTATTCACAAACTGGGCGAATCTCACCTCGCCGGTGAACCCCAGAGTGCTGACATTGAGGTGCCGTGCGGACAACCAGAGGTGGCGCCACCTTGGTGACAGCACGCACGTGCGCACGGCGTCCTGCGCCGGCAAGGAGAACAGGATGCGGTGGAGCAGCTCGTCGGGGAGGCCGCTGATCCTGTCGCCAACGGCCATTGCTTTCGCTCTCTTGCCTGGCTTCGTCATGGCATTCAGTCGAACAGGTGGTGTGCACGGTGCAGAGCGATAAGTACGATCCAAAGCACTCCGCGGATGATTCTGGAGACCAAAGGACCAACCAACGAGAACGAGCGGAAGAACACGAGACTCCCCAGCTCAGCAGATCTGCCTGTGAAGCATCATTTCTCGGTTGAGATTCAAAAACACTGCACAAGGTGTAGACAGAAAATGTTAATGCTGTAAAATCTCTCATCCGTCGGGAAACATGCTACCTCTGATTTATTTGAGAACTAGACTAGAAAGCGGGAGCTAGATGCGAGAGAAATGGGGAGGAGCTTTGCTACATCCACGGGCTGCTAAAAAAACTGGGGAGGAGCTTTGCTATATGGAAATGCGGAGGATAGGAACAGAGGAAAGGAAGAACTGGGGTGGAAGCGGGAAATGGCCTTTGGTTCATGGGTGTATATACACCCCATACAAAAAGAAGTTAAGAATAAAACTCAAAAAAGTTTACGTGTTTTTGACTAAATTTGACTTTCTTTTGGACTAGTATATAAATTTTCACGAATAAAAAACCACTGTTTACTTCATGGCAAGAAAATGAAAAATATTGCTATATACAAGATACTATTTACATTATTTCTTTGCAGATAACTATTTACACTATTTTGGCCTAATTTATTTATTTATTCCCTGAAGTCAACGGGAGTTTTTCTTTTCGTGGACTTTTTTACAAGTACAAAAGGTTAGGTTTATTTTTAAAATATTTTCAGATTTTTTGACTTTTTATTTAATTACTAAAAAAATTATATGGGGTGTATATACACCCAAGAACCAAACATTCCTGTCCAGGTGAAAGCTAGCTAGCTAGGGCTCTCTCTCCCTCTCTTGAACGTTCTGAATCACCCAAATCTCGTCAAGTTTCATGCGGTGCTTGCTTGAGGCCGTTGAGGGCACTTGCTGCTTTTGTGCCTTTTTGTTCTGTGGGCTTGCGTGTGACATTTATCTTCGGACATTTTTGTCTGCTAGTATGTTTTTAAGGGGTTTTGTCTGCTATATGGGATGGAGACTTGACTAGCATGAAATTTCAGCATGCATGCCCTGTCTCAAAGCAAGGGGAAATAAAAAAGAACGAAAACAGAGCAACCAACCACATTACAAACACAAATATTCATCATAATTCGACTACGGTCTTATTTTTGCTCTCTAACATTCTATCAGCATGCAGTAGCAAAGGCAATTTATAACTCGAAAGAGAAGGTCGTCAAACGTGAAGAACAAAGATACACAATAGTAAAAAGTCAACACATGCATCACATCCACACAAGAATCAAATTCACATTCACTGCTGTGTGTGCTTCTTAATTTTTTTCTCCTTTCATTTACAAACCATGAAAAACAACACCGTCCTCCTTGGCGCCTACCATTATGGTTGTGCTATCCAATGGAACCCTATAGTTTCACGTGTGGCGGCTTCATCCTCGACGCCGTTTATGGAAGCAAGTCTGCCCACGATGGTGTGTGATGCCCTCATTCATGGCAACATTGCACTAACGTCATATCACACGCGTCCCAGTGTGTTGGCGCACTCAGTCAATGACGAGTGGCAATGCTATCTGAGTTGGCCCCGACGTTGCTCTTTGTGCACCAGTCGAGGCGGAGCCGGACCTGGCCAAAGAGCGTTGGGATAGGGATTCCACTCTGCTCCTCTAGGCGAGACCCCTCCAAATGCGGCGGTGCCCAGCTCGGTCCCAGGCTCTCGGATCTGAAGCAATGACACTATCCGACGTGTGGTGACGGCGGCCTACAGCCGACGAGCAGCACAGTATGGTGATTTTTGTGTGAACAAGCATGGAGGATATAGAATCTTATCTCTATGGTCATTTGCATTTGAGTCCTCAAACATTACCTAGTTTATGTATTCGTTGCTACATTTATCTATCTGTTAGGCACACTCAGACTTACTGTACCACGCAGATTACTCCCTAGACTTAGTTTACTCTGTAGTTTAGTCTCTGTACTTCATGGTAATTACAGATTTTGCCCTTGACTATATTGAACATTTGCTTTACATTACAGGCCCCCAACCCCCCTATTGCACTTACATTCTGTAAACTCAGCCCAACTCAAGATCACAAATGACAGCGATGACGAAACGAAACACGGCAGAGCGCGCTCCCTTACCGTGTAATGCCCGATTCCTACAACAACCGATCCAATGGTGTGCCGTGATTTTTTTTTCAAAGTATGGATGGTTGCTGTGCATCATCATAGCTACGGATGGAGGAAGGCCTGCGCCACAACATTTCCGTCATTTGCTGTCTGTGTACCGTTATGTTTTCAGCCAGAGCATGATTTTAAACTTGTGTTCTGACGAGTATACCGTGAGAGGGTGGCCACACGGCAAAATATGTTAAGACAGTCAAGCAAACGATGAGATTACAGTAATCCCGAATAATGTCAAACACAACTCTAATATCAAATTTCTCTGCATATGCCTCTGGAAAGTGAAACACATATCCAGATTCAGTTACAGGAATATTAATTTGTTGGCCTCATGATCACACAAACATTCCCCGCAAAAAGAAGAGCACACAAACATTAAAAAGCCCTTCCACATCAAATCGGAAGCAACACTTGCCAACCATCAGAAGCTCTAATCCACGGTAATAACGCATGGGCCGTGCACATCTCCCTACCTACAAGTACAAGAAAATAGCAGTGAGTTTCTGATTGCCTTTGTTGGCACAACTACTAAAAGGAAAACCAAAAATTACCATCAACGAACAAAGAGAGGCTTACTCCAAAGGATCCCAGCGCTCGTACGGATTGATGACAATTTCCGGGAGAGAGGCGCTAGCAAGTATGACATTCAGAATATTGCCCACCCTTTTGTCACCCTGAGGGCATCTGATCTTGACCTTCTTCAGATGTTTACAATTAAACGATGTGCTTGTTTCCTCGGACTCTGTGTTGTCCCTTCGGCGAAGCCTGTCTGAAGCTCTAGCCTGACAAGAATCAAAGACGTGTAAATATCTTTATGAACAACAAGTAAAACCCATTGTGGTAAGACGAAATATATCCTTGCCTGGCTGAGACACAGAGTAAGTTTCTCTAAGGCAGGTGAGCGTCGAAGAAAGTAGACCAGTGCACGGAGGTCAACATCTATGCACCAGCCACTGACAGACAAAGTTTTCAGGTTGTTGAATGCCTGGCACCTCCAGAGATCTCTTCTTAGAACCTTGCTTGCAGTTTCCTACACAAGACGAAACCATGAAAAATAATAGTTAAAAGTTAGAAGACAATTAGATGAAGAATGAGTCATTGCACAGTTGAAGACAAACTTACATTGTCAAGTCCAAAGAACAACTTCAACTTCGTAACATTTGACAGGGCACTGATAATATTGCAGCTTACATAAGGACTCGAGAAACATTCTTCATCCAGGCGAAATGAAGCCTTGACAACAGATGAGACATTCACAAGGCAAGGAGTTAACAACGGAATGTCCTCCAGATGCAGCGAAACAAGACTAGGGGTATCTATGACAAGGTCTTCAAAATCAGTATGGACATCATCAGCACCATAGGGGGTATGTGCGATAAATGTTAATTTCTTCAGGGTCCTAGAGGAGAACTTGGTGGCAGGAACACGACAGTCTACCAATGATAGTTCTTCCAGCTGCGGACAGCCAGAAAAGAGCTTCTCAATGAAGAGGGCAGCGATGGAAACATCACGGAGATTGAGTATTTTCAGATGCGACGAAATGAAGGGAGAGTACTCAAGATTAAATAATTTACGGCTGAAGATCTGAAGCACACGGACATTGCTCCTAAGGGCGTGGCAGACCCACAGGTTAGCTCTGGGATGGTTAAGGGAAAAATCATCGCTCCAGCCCATGAGGGAAAAGCTATCTAGAGGTACCAAACCACGGCGCAGTAGTAGGTTGTCCATGAACATCACAAATCTCTCCATGTTGGTGAATTCCTGTGCCTCAACTTCAATGCACCGCAAAGACATCCAAACGCCGCGCCACCTCGTGGATAGCACGCATGTCTGCACTGCTTCTCGTGCAGTCATGAGAGACAGGATATGGTGGAGAATCTCATCAGGGAGGCTGCTGATCCTGTCACTTGTGATATCCGAAAACCCTGTTGGTCCCATGCGCTTGTTGGACGTATTGGCCATTGGCAAGAAGAAGTTTCCAGTGTCCAGTGCATTCACTTGAGCAGATGGTGATAGGTAGCCTGCACACAAAAGGTAGTGACTATAACAAGTTTTGAGGTCACAAGCAGATGTTTGGTAATTTCAGCTGTTGAATTCAATCAGTAGTCTTGAAGCAACTTGCCAAGATGACACACCAATTGGATAGGTACAAGTACAACTATCAGGCACTGTTAGACTAGCATTCAGGTGAAAACTGTAAATTTTCTGAAGGACAAGAGTTAAAATCCTCCAAAATGCCAAACCCTCGTACTCCCAGATTACAGTTCCAGGTAGCCTAATACGGCGGCAGGAAGGCAAATGTACATAGTTCGATCCCATGG